TCTCCCCTCCCCCCTTCCCCTTAGGGCGAATTACAAATACCATCTTCAATTCACACTATCCTCCCCTCCCCTTCTTAGTAATTTAAACTTATTCTAAAATAAGCGCTTCCAAAGTTTTCAATACGTCTGACTCTTAATTCATTTTTGCAATTATTAATGTTTCCGATTCTCTCAAAAATATCCTAACATATTTGCACGTTTTAATTGGTAAAAGAATGCAGTTTTTCAAGAAAAAAAAAAAAGCTTTGAAAAGAAATCTATCAAGTTTTCTGTAGTATTGCTAGCTGAACATTTTCTATCCACGGGCAGCCGTAGTACAATTTAGATTCCGAGCCGTGTCAACCTGTCCGGTCCCAGTTTGTTCTGTATCGCCCGGACATTGGATAAATAAAGCAGGCACTCAATAGGACTAGTCGGTGCAACAATTAGCAACAATTAGATCTAACAAGACTGCAAAATTCAAATGTACTACGGCTGCTCGTGGGCTAAGTCTCTGTTTTAAGATAACGTATTTTTACTAACCATGTATTAAAAAGTAGAGATTGTGGACAAAGTGTGACAAATTTCACAAAAAATGTTATGCTTTTCTTACAATGATTGTAAAAAAATCAGCCATTTCCTGCTTCTCTTTGATGTTAATAAAAGACGAAATTTACTTTCATTAAAATATTCGCGAATTAAAAATTTGAAAGGTACCGCTGTGAGTTGTTGTTTCGCTACTTAGCGATTTCCCTAAAGACCTAATATATGTACCGTGTGGTATTTCTCAGGATTGGATCGTAACTCAGAAATACGCAGGGGCGACAAACAGACTTTCTTCACGCAGCATGGCTCGCGTAACAGTTGTATAAGTTGAAGGGTCTTTGAAAATTGTACGAAGGTATACCTAATAATATTTAGCCCACATGAAAACCAAAGTTTAATGTTTTTGGTAGAAAAACTATAAAGTTTAGAGAAAAAACTATCTGAGGGTTGGCTGGCATGCAATTTGTAAGAAAAATTCAATTTTAGAAATTCAATTTAAAACCAAAACCTTTATTAGCTTTTCTTAGTTTTTATCGGAGCGGTAAACCCGGACCGGAATAGAAAAACTCCTTTATCACTTAAAGCAGGCTCGACAGAAGGAAAAATGAAATTTATGCCAAATTACAGGAATGACCTCTTAGCTCCATGTATCTATACAATAAAACAAGACATTCGTATATATGTTTCTTATGGACCGAATTGGCTGACATTTTTTTTCATCATTTTTTTTCACGGGCAACGCCGCGCGGGTCCTCCAGCTAGTATTTTTTAAACTGTGACTCAGATTACTTCACTATTACATATTACTTCATTCTTCAATGCTCTCTTTTCGTTTAATTTTGTCCAGACTTTTCTTGGGAGAAGAAACGTATAACTTCGTTACAGTGAGACCCACAAAACGGTGTAATACAAAGACGACGTTTCAGCATTAAACTTTAGATCTTTTTTGAACAAATCCCATCCGTACTCTCTAGCACTAGAATTATATAATTTTCTTCTCAATATATTTTGCCAAAAACTTTGGCATCACCAGGAGTTCGTCCTTTAATATAGCAGATATAAGCAAAAAAATAAAAAAAATTTATATGAAAAAAAGCTTTTTTTAGACAGTGAATATATAAAATAAATAATACAAAAAAGCACTTAAGCAATATTTTGTGCATTTGATGTTATGATACAGAAAATAATTTTACCGTAGCTTTAAGATAATTTTATTTAAGAAAATGGGTCTGCGAACACTGCACAATTCTGCTGTGTTTCATGTTCAATGAACTATATATTTGAAATATAACTTGAGTGTAACAGTTTTTTGGGCCTTACTGTACGATTTTTTTTCTTTTTTTCTGAAAGATGAAATAGTGATTGATAATATATATTCTGTTACGTATAACACATCAAAATACAGTTAGTTTCACGTCAAAATAACACATCAAAATACAGTTAGTTTTACGTCAAAATAACACATCAAAATACAGTTAGTTCTACGTCAAAGAAATTGAGGTTTTGCCACAAATTCTGATTTTTAATCCCTTTATATTTACAACCCGTAGACCTTTGATAATTCAAACTAATTCTTTTAGATCAAATAGTTTAAGCTTCAAAAATATGAAGTTTATATCATCAGGATGCAAAGATTAGAAAATTTATGTTTGTGACAAAAACTCAATTCCTTTAAATCTTGCAAATTTTCACAAATAGCTCCTTGAGGGGTATTGTAAATATTATTTGAATATAACATGTAAATTAAATTCTTGGATGAATTAAATGAAAATGGCCATTTTATTCCCCCATTGAAAATATCATTGAGTCAAGTGAAACAAATCTTATCTATAAATTTTTCAGTTTGGTATTTCTATGATGATAATGTAAAAATAAATAACAAATTATCCTATAATAAATCAGAATTAGTTACGCATATTCTCGAATCAAATAAATGCGTAGAAAATCTTAAATCCTGAACCCTGATGGATGGATTCTTAATTAATGGGCATCCAACCATGGTTAATGGGTTGATCAGCCAACACACTTTTCCCAGGCGTATTAAGGGGGGCTATGGGGGGCTCAGCCCCCCCTGGATCAGTAAAATCTATGGTTTTTGGGCCCAAACCGGTGCTGTACACCCCTTCAAAAGAAAAAAAGTTATCCCCCTCTTGGACAAATTCCTGAATACGCCCCTGACATTTTTTTGTTCAAGGGGCTGTACGCGTAATTTCAAGTGATCCTCCATTTTTAAAGGGACATATCCGATTTACAGGTGTACCCTTATATTCTGATCAAAGATCAGATTTGTCATATATATACAGTGCATGCAGCTTCAATTTTCATCTTTTATCTTTACATTAAACATTTCAATATCTGGCCGACACATCAAAAGTACGCAGTACGCACTGTGATTTAATACTAAAGCCATAACAGACATATAACTGCCTTACAACCATTAACTCCGACACTATACAGTTATCACATGTATTTACAAAATATTTATATTATCCTATTTTACACTCAATTTATCCCAACATTGCCATTTCACAATTTTCTCTTTTCAGCCCAAGCTGACCTGGATTTTATGGGTCTTAAAAAGAGGCAAATATTAAGTTATAAAAAGGTGGATGCCCCCCCCCTTTCCTAAAATTTATACTTAACTCCCCCCCCCCTCTCTTTCACAAGTCAAGCACCCGTTCCATTGAAATATGTATTGAGAGATCTAAGATTAATGAATTTTGTGGATCATTTGGCGTGCGAGCGCAAACAGCCGTGTAATGCCGCCAATCGTTAAGTAATCCCAAATCATTAGCACAAACACTTCACAGTTCTATTTACAATGGAAATAATGATGAAAAATCAATATTTATATTTATATTCGGATTCCTATACTCACAATTACACGGGGTTCAGGGCCTTTTAAACCTTGGTCGAAGTTCCAGCTGCCCCCCCCCCCCCGACCCATTACACTTACAGCCTTACAGGGGGCGGAGTGGGATTGTTCAAAACAAAGGAATTTGATTATTTAGTTATTTGGTAAATGGTTTTCCATTGAGTGAGATATCTTTGTTTTCTCCCTAGAAATTGATCTCCTTTGCTTATGAATGAAGGATGAGTGAAAGATTATATTTCAATTGCAAACATTTTCATTTTCATTGTAAACAAAAACAAAAAAAAGATAGATAGCGGATTTTATTAAAAAAGTTTATTTTCAAAATAAAATGAAAATCAAATTTTGTTGGAGGCTAATTTTTGAAATTTAATCATACATAAACTTTCCCTGTGGTCATGTGAGGTCCCACACAAACTTTGCGCCCGATCGGTTCAGCCTTTTCGACGTTCAATGGACAAAAAGAAACAAACAGACACCCAGATGAGCAAAGTATAGAGATAGATTTGTTAACCAAAAGCTTTTAAAAATGCTAAATTTTCCACGTTTCATAATTCATATACAAGAGATAGCTAGATGACAAATTCTTATATCTGTCACATTATTGATCAAATGAAGCTTTCAAGGATACCGTTGTATGTTGATACACCTCCTAAAGGAGATTCAAGGATATTGTTGTGTGTGGATGCACCTCCTAAAGGAGTTTCAAGGATACCGTTGTGTGTGGATGCACCTCCTAAAGGAGGTTCAAGGATACCGTTGTGTGTGGATGCACCTCCTAAAGGAGATTCAAGGATATTGTTGTGTGTGGATGCACCTCCTAAAGGAGTTTCAAGGATACCGTTGTGTGTGGATGCACCTCCTAAAGGAGGTTCAAGGATACCGTTGTGTGTGGATACACCTCCTAAAGGAGATTCAAGGATACCGTTGTGTGTGGATGCTCCCCCTAAAGGAGGTTCAAGGATACCGTTGTGTGTGGATGCACCTCCTAAAGGAGGTTCAAGGATACCGTTGTGTGTGGATACAACTCCTAAAGGAGATTCAAGGATACCGTTGTGTGTGGATGCACCTCCTAAAGGAGATTCAAGGATACCGTTGTGTGTGGATGCACCTCCTAAAGGTGGTTCACTTACAACACGCTCCTCTGCCCCTTTAGTAAAAGTATATTCAACCTATATGAAGCATAAAGTCTGACCGCGTCAACCTTGTTACACCAGCTAGTCCTGCCCATAGAGCTAGGTACAGTACAAACTGGGACCGGAAAGGTTCACCCGGGGCTCGGAAATTGAATTGTACAACGACTGCCCGTGAAAAAAACGTTTGTTAAATTCTTTTTAAAAAAACTTGTTTAAAAATCTAATTTGGTTTTTAGGAGAATATTTTTAAACTTCTTAGCTGCAATTGATATAGCAATAGCAATGAACGACCCAATACGATCTGTATATCTGTAGATCTGTAGATCGGTAGATCTGTAGATCTGTAGATCTGTAGATCTGTAGATCTGTATCGGTAGATCTGTAGATCTGTATATCTGTAGATCGGTAGATCTGTAGATCTGTATATCTGTAGATCTATATATCGGTAGATCTGTAGATCTGTAGATCTGTAGATCAGTAGATCTGTAGCTCTGTATATCTGTATATCTGTAGATCTGTAGATCTGTAGATCTGTAGATCTGTAGATCAGTAGATCTGTAGCTCTGTATATCTGTATATCTGTAGATCTGTAGATCTGTAGATCTGTAGACCATGCTTAGTTGGACTGTACTCCAGGGCGTATACAGGATTTTTTTCCCTTGTGGGACTTAAAAACTTTCAAAGGGCTGAATACCCCCAACATAGATTCAACCTGCTCATATAAAGACCAATCATTTTTTAAGACAGGGTCGACTTTGAAGCGTCGCAACGCCTTGGGCTTTGATTTTATCGCTCTAACTCACTTATGCTTTTCTGTAGCCTTTTAGCGCTATACAGCACTTGTGGTTAGCTTTAGTTTTTGATCTATCCCGATTGGGCTATTTTTGTCTAATATAGATTGGGGGGCCTCTATGATTTTGCACTTAGAGTAGAGATAGGGAAGTGTGATACATGTCCATAGTCCAACTTTTCAAAAAATCAGACCTGGAAGGAAGGATTTTTTAAAAGTTCAGAAAGTATATGTTGAAAAAATTTTCAAAAATAATTATTTTCATTCTTAACAAATATTAATATATGACACATTTTATTTTATTCAGAGTAACCCCCCCCCCACCCCCCAACCATGGTAGGGTTAAGAAGTAATTGTCAAAATTTTTATCGATTTTTGCTTGAGAGCTTGAGACCCTTAAATCACAGTGCCCCGATGGAACATCAGATTTCCCTTATCCAGAAGGCTCACCCCCAATACCCCCCCCCCCTGTATACGCCCTTGAACAAACTGTATCCTGCAAATGACAACTCTAAAAACCGGAAACAGCTGGAAGCTGAGGATCATGTGTGTGTGTGTGAACAAGGAACAATGTTCAACACCGGAAGTGAACAAAGAATATTCCCGATGAGAAAGATATTAAATCATGGTTGACTGAAATTTCTACAGTTGAAAATGAGTATATAAGAATACCAGGAGAAAGTAAATCTTAATAAAGGAAACTGGGAAGAAGGCTGAAGGATGTAATAAAAAATACTTTAGAGCACCCGACCCATATAAATCATAAACTTACAATACTTTCTCCCCCTACCCCTCCCTCCACCCTCTGTACATCCTGAACCCAAATACTGCCTTCATCCAAGATTTATAGATTTTCTGTTGTAAATATTAATGTTTTCACACAAAAATGTTGTTGGTAAATTGTTTTTAGGTAGCATTTTTCATTATAAATATATATTCATCATTTATATTTCTCTAAAGCAAAATTACATTAAACAATATAAAAGTTTACAATTTAATACTAATACTCTTTTCTCTGGATATCGCATTTTATGATTGACAGGGTTTGCAGGTGCCATACAAGACTTTTAGCACGAGTATAGTTTAGTTATTCAGAGATGGTTTTCAGAAATGGAGTTTCTTGGTCCCAGTCTAGCGTTTTTCGTTTTCTAAAATTGTGGTATGATGACAGCACTGCAAGACTTGATAGATTTTCGCACATTGCTTTGAAACTATAAACTAATGCAGTTTCTTTGGATTTGCTTTATTTATTATAAGAGTGAGACCCATAAAACCGTGTGATAGGACGACGACTTTTTAAAGTAGATTTTTAATCTATAACCGGTAAAGCTAATTGTTTCCTCAAAAGATGAAATTACACATAATATTGTTTAAATATCGTATTGTTAAAATATTAAAGGAAATAACGTTCTACTTCAATCTACCTGGCCTTCCGGTGCATAACCAACATTCGGTGTATGTGTTTAAGCATTGCCAACGTGTGGACATTCACTCATTATTAAATAGAACAGTGAACTGCATAGTTAGTTAAACATGCTTTAAAATTATTTGATTTCGATTATAACCTACAATATTTCAGAATAATATAAACCATCATTCACACTGGACTACATGTTCAGAAGCCTCTACTTTTATGGCTTTTTTTCGGCTAATGTAAACAAGTTAATTATTTTTGATTTAAAATTCTTTCCTATTTTAAATTGCTTTAAAGAAAATACCACTTTATCGGAATAAAATAATAAGAAAATTCCTTAATTGTCATTTGTTTTAAACAAACTTCTTCATATTCAATTATTTTCCTTTATCCTTACTATGTAATTTATTGTATTTTTTTGCAGGTTTTAACTTTTCTACATCAATGTTTAAATTTACTGAATAAAGTCCTGTGACGTTTAATTTAACACGTAATCCTATTCTACAGTTTTATGGTTATCATATTTTAATTTCAGGAAATTACAGGTTCTCAAGTTCTAAATTGTTCAAGTGTTAAATATAATGAAATTAAAAATAAAAAAATTCTGTGTACTGTCTGTTCTGTACTCTAGCTAAAATATCCGATTACAACAATAACGTTTAAAAAGTTTAATTTCATTTATTAACCTTAAATCAAATTAATAGACTTAGTAAAAATATATGAAATACATTTTCGACAGTTTACATTAGTATCCTGCACAAACCGTTTTTTAATTAAAAATCTGGAAGAAATCGACATTTTCCTTAAAGCCTAACATTTCTGAATTATGACAATTTCCTCCATTGAAAAAAAAACATAATGTCACTTGTACAAAGAGAAACCGCAAATGAAAATAGTCAATATTTCAAAGATAGAAAGGAGAGTATGGACATAAAGAAAGGACAGAAAGGAAGAACACTCAGGAAAGTACAGATAGAAAGAAAGGACCCGGAAAGTAGAATACTACGGTAAGTATGGATAAAATGAAAGAACAGAAAGGAAGAACACTAACGAAAGTATGGATCGAAAGAAAGGACCTGGAAAGAATACTAAGGAAAGTATAGATAGAGAGAAAGGACGGAAAGCAAGAATACCAAGGAAAGTATGGATAAAAAGAAAAGACAGAAAGGAAGAATACTAAGGAAAGTATGGATAAAAAGAAAGGACAGAAAGGAAGAATACCAAGGAAAGTATGGAATATAGAAAGAAAGGAAAGAGAGGAAGAATACTAAGGAAAGTATGGATAGAAAGAAAGGGCGGAAAGGAAGAATACTTAGTAAAGTATAGATAGAAAGAAAGGAGAGAAAGGAGGAATACGAGTAAAGAATGGATATAAAGAAAGGTTGGAAAGGAAAAATACTAAAGAAACTACGGATAGAAAGTTAGGAAAGAAAGGCAGAATACTAAGGAAAGTATAGATATAGAGAAAGGTCGGAAAGGAAGAATACTAAGGAAAGTCTGGATAGAAAGAAAGGAAAGAAAGGAAGAATACTAAGGAAAGTATAGATATAGAGAAAGGACGGAAAGCAAGAATACCAAGGAAAGTATGGATAAAAAGAAAGGACAGAAAGTAGGAAGAATACAAAGGAAAGTATGGATTATGGAAAGGTCGGAAAGGAAGAATACAAAGGAAAGTATGGATTATGGAAAGGTCGGAAAGGAAGAATTCTACAGAAAATATGGATAGAAAGTAAGAACAGAAAGAAGAAAAGTATATTTATATATTTCGAGTATGATAATTTAAACCATCTTATAGATTATTAGTTTGGAAAGTTTGAGATTAGATTAAATTAAGTTCAAAGTAGGTGTTTGCTAATAATCTTAAACTTCTATTTTACCAAATTGTTTTGATTAGCGTGGAATTATCTTTTGAGCTTTAATAGATAGAGGAAAATAAAATGTCAGAAAAGAACGATTTTAAAAATTCGGTAAAACAATTTTTTGCTTTTTCCTCAAAAATAAAATTCGCTCATTTTCATCTTAATAAAATTGTGTACAACTGCTTTGGAACCCTTGTTATATACAGTAAAACTTTCTTAACTTCCCTGTAAAATAGTTATGATATGTATCAAAAGCTACAATATACAAATTTATAAAAAAAACCTTTGATTACAAGTAATCTAATTTACCAATGACACCATTAATCATTGATTAGAATTCTGTTTGGGACACTCTGTAATCTGTTATATAATAGCTTGGTAACCCAGCTTTGTTTGGAATCTACCTAGTTCTACAATCACAAATATGAGGCAAATCGGTCGAGAGATAGATTGACATAAAGCTCGTTTAGTGTTGAATATTTTTGTTTTAAGATAAAGTAAAAATGTAAAGAAAAACTGACACACAAAAAGTGTTTTTATTTTTTTCCCCGCATTTTTGAAATCAACAATTTTCCATGGTTTGCTTGAAGAAAAAATATGGGAGGGGAGGGGGGGAGGGGGGAATATGGAAGGGAGGGAGGGATTCTGAATTTTGGCCTAGCTGTTACTATGGTTTCCAACGCAAGTGGATTTTACTTGCGCGCAATTGCGGGCCCTGTAATTCAGCGCACCTCCCTACAATTCAGCGCAATACGAGAACAGTTGCGCACAATTTCCCACAGTTAGGCGCAATTTTGCGCAACGGAACTCCGATTGGAAACCGGATATGTGACGCAATATTTTTTATCCAGACCTTCAAAGCAAGCAATTCTCTGGAACTTTCCTTCATAAAAATATTTTTTTTATTTCATTAACTAAAATAATTATTATCGTTAAATTCACCACGGAAATGAAAAAAGTATATTTTAAGCAAAAAATATGTTTTTTTGCCAAGGCTTGGAAATGCTCTGCAAACAATTATTAGTGGTTTCACTTTTTTGCATGAAGGTGTGTTCATTTAGAAATAATCAAAGTATTTTTTCCTGTTTGCTAAGACTTTCTCTAACCTCTCTGAAAAAAAGAGAATAGGTCAGTCCTGTTTATTCAAATATGTCTGTTTCTATTATTTAAGAACCCCCCCTCCACCATAGGTTGACCAAAACTTATGAAACACGAAATAAACATTGAAGAACTTGAAAATTGTTTAGTTACATTTTTTTTCTTTAACTTGTAATCCTGATTACAAAACTTGCATCTCTAAGAAAAAAGCTTCTTTTTTTTCCTCGCTGCTGTGGCTTTCTCTAAAATCTCTGAAAAAATAGTATAGGTGAGTCCTTTTTATTCAAATATGTCTGTTTCTATTATTTAAGACACCCCCCCCCCCCTCCACCATAGGTTGACCAAAACTTATGTAACACAAAATTCTAAGAAAAAAGCATCTTTAAAAATAAAATTTAAAATAGCAGTGAACGTTTAGGGCACATTTTCATGAAAATATTGAAATATCAATTCAAAAATATTCCATATAATTTAACTTACTTTCGTAATCAATGTCTTTTTTAGGTTTACGGGTCATGCCTGAATTCAGTAATTATGATTAATTTTTTTTTAAATGTAATTTTTAAAATATTTTTTGCTATACTAATTCTTAATCAGAAATTATTGAGCTGAAAAAAATGTCAAAATACATAAAAATTCATATTTAATATTTGTAAATTAAACTAAATTGTTTTAATTTCAGTTAGATCTGATACTAACCTCTATTTGCACCTTTGCCTGCTTTGGCTTTCTCTGAAAAAAAAGAGTATTGGTCAGTTCTGTTTATTCAAATATGTCTGTTTCTATTATTTAAGACATCCCCCACCCTTCACCATAGGTTGACCAAAACTTATGAAACACAAAAAAAACATTGATGAACTTGAAAATTGTCTAGAATTACATTTTTTTCTTTTACTGGTAATATTGATTACAAAACTTGCATATCTAAGAAGAAAGCTTCTTAAATTTTTTTTTTAAGTATTGAATGTTTTGGGCACATGTTTATGGAAATATTGAAATATCATTTCAAAAATATTCCATATAATTTAACTTACCTTCTTTATCCCAGATTTCTTGCATCATTTCAGGGGTCATGTCATAATCTCCTGAATTCAATACTAATAATAAAATTCGTTTTTTAAAGATGTCATTTTCCAAATATTTGTATGCCACTAAATGTTAATCAGAAATGATTGAGCTGAAAATGTATTCTATAACACTTAAAAATTCATATTTCATAACTGCAATTACTGTTCTAATTTTCAAATATGTCTGCAGACATATAGAATTATCAAATATGCCTCATATTATTTCGTTTATATAAAGGTCATATAGATAAATTAATATTCACCTCTATTGACTGTTCTGCTTGGGGCAGATTTACCTGAAAATATTCAATAATAAGGACAGTAGGCATAATTTCAAATCAGGCCCCATTTTTGTTGAGAGGGGAGAGTCAAGCTTTTTTATTCGTTTTTTCATCTTTCCTTAACAACCCATTTTTTTTATTTTTTGTTTTTTTAAATTCGGAATTTTTTTCGGAATTTTATTTTTCTTTGTATTTTGTTTTTTATTTAACTGAACAATTATTCAATGAAAATAGTTTTTTTAAAAGTTCATTCAAATCCTTCGTACAGTAAAACACAAATTTTTTTTCAAGTTTCATCTTAAAAATTGTTTGTTAACCGTCTGGTTGATCCAATAATGCAAGCAATCGATCTTTATACTATCTTCTAAATATTCTAAATATTAAAAACAATTTCAAAATCTGTATTTAAGTTTTTTGTAACTTGAGAATTATGCATGACATTTTTGCAATATTCTTTAAACCTGTTGTTGGTCAAGGATAACGGCCGGAATTATTCTCATTGATCATTTCAAGACTTAACAATACATACAGTTCCTTTAAGATAAGAAGCAATATTCTATGTATTAAAATATGTTAAGCGCAAAAACAATAACATTTTTAGTTTAGAATTTAAAGAAAACTTTCTAAATATTCTAAATATTCTAAATATTCAAAACAATTTCAAAATCTGTGTAAAGTTTTTCGTAATTTAAAGCTTTTGCATGATATTTTAGCATAAGTAAATTTATAATATCTGTTTGTCTGCTCTCTCTTTAAAAAACTTACCTTTTCCTTCAGCAGATTCTGAACTCTCATAATCAAGATGAAAATGAACATTGATTTCATCAAGAGGTTTAGGAGCAGGTGCACTTTTGCACACCTGGAATATTCTATGTAGATTCTGTTGGGGTTCAAAGTTTAAAAGGGGTGTATATTTTTCAGAAATATCCCCCCCAGGGTGGTGGGATAATTTTTGTTGATTTGGATTGGGACTGATGAAATATAAGATAACTTTTTCAACCTTTTTTGATCCTTTTACCCGGAAATTCATTGATTTCCACTAAATATACACCCCTCTGATAATTTTTTCTCTAATCAACAACACACTTTTGTTTTGAATGTGATTTGGAATCGAATTTTTTAACCTTATTTGTAGGTATCTAGTTTAAACCTGCAATATGATGAATAATGTTAAAAATGAAATTCTTAAGGCAGCCATCTTATAAACTTACTGATAAACTACTACATTATGGTTTAAATACTCTTTTCTGCAAACAAAACATGTTCGTTAAATCAAGAAAATAAATTCAAAACAAAACATGTTCGTTAAATCAAGTAAATAAATTCAAAACAAAAAATAATCAATTGAAGATTTCTAAAGAAATAAAAATATTTTGAATTTTATCCCCCTAAAATATGGTGCAATCAGAAATACAAAACTCTAGAAGCATAAACTCCATAAAAAAAAATCTTTGGGAATACAAAATCCTGAAAAAAAACTCCAGAGATGCAAACACCGGATAAGACAACTGCGGAAATACAAAACTCTTGAAGTGTAAACTCCGGAAATGAAAAACTCCAGAAATAACAAACTCCAGAAATTACAAACTCCGGAAATGATTAACTCCTGAAATATAAAATCCAGAGAAGACAAAATGCAGAAATACATAACTCTAGAAGTGTTTTTAACTTTAATAATTTATTTTATTTAATTTTACAATTTTTTAAATTTTAATATGATATTAGATGGAAACATTTTGAGACTTCTATATTTCTTGTTTTTAATCCTTTCTTCTTGATCTTCCATTCCTTGTCCATCCTTCAATCACTATCCCTGAAAGCTCTATTGAGAGGTATCTTCCATGGCAGTCCAGTCCTCACATCTAGTGGGGTAAAACACTGGTATCGTTGTGCATGGCTTGAATTCCCACGAGGGGTTAAATTCCTTTTTCAGTGAACCAAGCAAAACTCTAGAAGTGTAAAACTGAGTGAAAGACAATCTCTTGAAAAGACAATTCCTTAACAAAACACAAACTTTGGGGGAAAAATTGTTCAAATAGGGTTGTGCTTTTTGGAGTCAGTCTCGTCAGGAATTTGTTATTTCCATAGTTTGTATTTCAGCATTTTGCATATCCGGAGTTTGTATTTCTGCAATTTTTATGTCTGGAGTTTGTTATGGTGCCCTGAAATAGGTATGCTTTTTAGTTGGAGTTAGACGAATATCTGTATTTAAGTTTTTTGTAACTTGAGAATTACATAAAAAGGGCTTATATTTGAACAAAAACTTCTTCACTTTTTCAACAAAAAGGACATGTATCACACTCCTATCTCAACTCTAAGGAAAAAATTTACCCCCCCCCCTCCCCACCAGCGTTTTATCGAGGAAAACTTAATTAGACGAAAATAGCTCAGGGATAGGGTTTAAGGAAATAAAAAAAAATGATTCAGAATTTTTAAACATTTTCTATTCCTGATTTAAGATTAGGAAAATTCAAGAGAGTCAAGATTTAATTTTGAAAAGTTTAAATTAGTTCAAAATGTGCTTAATTCTATTTTTATCTTTATTGTCTCTGAAGCAAGAAATGCACAAATCACCTTTGTAAAGAAATGACTAAACTTTTATCAATACTTGATGTAATCGTTTTAGTCCTCAATTGATAAATTTACTATTTTTCTTTGATCAAAAAACTATAGGAATAACATTTATACTCTATCAAAATCTCTCTAATCTAAAACTCTAGAACTCTGTCTTAACCTATCAAAAAACCTAAAATTTCTGAGTGAAGAGAAAAAATACCTTTTAAAAAATATATATTAATGATCTGGTAGCATGAATATTACAGGATATACTGCATTGCAAAGAAGAGTTGCAAACCCTTTTATACCCAAGCGAGCCTAGCCTAGCCGAGCAAGCTTGTTTGGTACACAAAAGTTATCAACATAAAAAGAAAGAGTTGCTGCAATATTTCTCCCCTTTTCCAATCTGGAATAGGGAGAAATATTGAAGCCTCTCTTTTTCAAACACTACTTATACAAAAATAAAAAAAAATTTTGTGTAAGAACAAATTTAACTATAAATCTTGATTTTGATATTTCTTGATAATTGATGGAATTTTTAAATGTTTTGGACAGTTGTATTTCTAGTACAGAGTAGTAGTAGCAAAGACTACACGAGCAAACTGCAAAAACTGCTGAAAAAATCAACAACAGTATCTCCCCCGACAACAAGAAAATCATAAGCAGGACCAGGAGCATACTTGGATTCTCCAGAATACTTTTAAGAATCATCATTTTTATTAAAGGGACTGTTTTCCACTCAATATTATAATGATTTAAATGGGTTAAAAATATAACTTCGTTTGAAATCAAGTCTATAGGTGGCTTTTCTGTTATATTTTCTTATACTGTAATGAAAACTAACCCACATTAGAGATGTACTTGCATAAATAACTTGTAAAGTAAGCACAAAAATCTTTGTAAATCTTTTGTTGAAGTGGACTTTTTACAATGTGATACACAATCCAACTTCATTGAATTTGGCACTATTTTCCCCTTTCTAATATCAAAAGTACAAGTTCGGAATCTGCTGACTTACTTCTTATTTTTCCCAACATTATGAATCTATTAAAGAAGAACTACCGTAAAATATATATATCTAAAACAAGATTCCTATGTAATCTCAATTAACACAGCACAACGGGTTTAGTTGAGATGAAATACACCAAACCCATGCATTGAGTTAAGGTCGAAAACACAGACTTCTCAAACATAGAACAAACATATATTCATAATCAATATTTATTAAATATATAAACATTTACCCCGGAACCCAAGTTGATCTCCGTTTACACAAACAACAGTATCAGTTGATTAAAAACTGAATCCTATTATCTGAGTAAAGTTCAAAGCTTAGATTCCATCAATCATCTCCACAGCAGCAACACAGAATCATATTCTCGGATTGCAAAAAATCTACGTTCAACTGAATTGCATGCTTCGCCAACTGACTAAACTTTTATCAATACTTGATGTAATCGTTTTAGTCTTCAATTAATAAATTTACTATTTTTCTTTGATAAAAAAACTGTAGGAATAACATTTATACTCTATCAAAATCTCTCTAATCTAAAACTCTAGAACTCTGTCTTAACCTATCAAAAAATCTAATATTTCTGAGTGAAGAGAAAAAATACCTTCTTAAAAAATATCTATTGATGATCTGGTAGCATGAATAAAATTATTTATTATCAGAAACCTCATCTGTATAGTATCTTTTTTTAATGTATTTAACAATCTCAAACCCTCATCACATAAGTTTATACTTAAAGTTTTTAAATGAGTAGGACATATTTACCGTCCCCCCCTTTTTCCTACCGTTATTTGCTGAATTATATCTTTGTAAAAGGATGATACTCACTGTACTGTTACTTACCTTTTAACTTCTAAAATATACTTATCTTTTTACTGTTTTAACACCCCCCCCTTTTATCTACCGTTACTCCTCTAAATCTACTTATCCTAGTATCTTATCTAAACCCTACCCCCATTAAATGATAAACTTACAAGGATAATATATACTGTATACTGTAGAATTTAAGGCGGTAACTTAAACAGGAATTAATTACGTTTAATTTTGTGAATGCTATAAAAAGCATCCCACGTCAAACTAAAGTATAAATTGCACATATAGCACCTCTTTTTGAAGAGCTTATGGAAAGAATAAAAAAAATCTTCCAATTATGGGACCTTAAAAAATTGAACAGGCACAACCCCCCCCCCCCCCCCCTTCAGACTATGCATAGGTTTAGACCTAACACCCTATTTAGGGTTAAGAGTTGAAACATGAAAAAGTAATGGTACATTTAAAAATTGAATTACCCAACCCCGCAAGGCATGTTCTCTTTCATATTTTAATTTTTAGACTTCAAACTAGAGAGAATTTTATTCATTAATCCAACATCTAAATTTCTTTCATTTTTTCTTCTTTAACTATTGTTTAAACCAGAGATGGAAGTTCTTGTATTGTGGATATCAAGATCATTGCTTGATCTTGATATTTGAAATCTCTTGAAATGTGGAAAATGACCAGCCAATCAGAAGCAAAGAAACTTTGTTTTTAACCAATAAGAGAGCAGTAAATCAAGAGATCAAGTAGATTCTCGGCAAAATTCAATAGTGCCCCTGTGAATATTGAAATCAAGCAATCGGGATTATAAATATCAATCACAACAGTTCCAAGCTTAAAGGGTATAATTTTACTTGTTTTTTACATCTTTTTATAACATTTTGAATCCATAGATGATGATAAAAGCTTTGATGGTTGTTATTTTCAAATTGATTTTCTTTTGATCACTTAACAAAAATGTTTTCAACAAGAATGGGGTTTATAAAAAGACTTTTTTATAGAAAGTTATCAAAAATTGCTTTTTGAAAAGTGATAATTAGAAAACTCTAGATTAAATATTATGTTTTTTGTTCTTTTCTGTACTTTTTTAGTTATTTTCTATTGTGTAAACACACAAAGCCTAGTTTTTACCTTTATGAAATCAAACATAAAAATGTTGGCTTTAAAATTGCATTTGTCAAAGTTTGCATTTATAAAATTTTCCATATTTTTATCCTAAAAGAGCGAAAACAAATTAAAGGTTTAACATGTTTTGGTCGTAATTTTTCATTATTGTTACGTTTTTGTTACTTTCTTGTTACGTTTTTGTTACGTTTTTGTTACGTTTTTGTTACGTTTTTGTCATGTTCTTGTTACATTCTTATCACATTCTTGTTACATTCTTGTTATGTTCTTGTTATGTTCTTGTTACGTTCTATTTACATTCTTGTTATGTTCTTGTTACGTTCTTGTTACGTTCTTGTTACGTTCTATTTACGTTCTTGTTACGTTCTTGTTGTGTTCTTGTTACGTTCTTGATACATTCTTGTTACGTTTTTGCATATATTTTCTAAGGGTCGAAATTTGGCAAATTGAAAGAAATGCAAGTGTTTAGAATAATAAGTTTTGCTTATTAAGTATTTTTAGATATTTTCACTATCAGTTCTGACACTTATTATGCTGTAGTACAACTATTCAACTAATCCTACATGTTCACCGCAAATATTGTGTGATGTGTCATATCAAAAAAAAAATTTATTCAGGTCAAATCATGATTTGTTAACAATGTACATATTTGATATTTGGATGAATAATGAATATATTAATATAATATGTAAATTGTAAATTAATTAATATTGTGGTTTATATTAACCAGAATA